GGGATGAAACACCAGTCCCAGGGTTCCAGGAGTAGATCTTCCAGGGACCAGTCCAGGAGTCACCAGGATCGCCGTAGGTCCTCTGCTACCAGGGAGCCCAGGTCACCTTCCCCCTCCACTGCCAGTCAGGCTTCGGATTTGGAGGAGGGGGAGTTGAAAGAGATGGGGTTCTCTGAGGATGAGGAGGCTCAAGGCCCTGAGGCCCCAAACATCAACGGGCTGTTTCCCCCCTCCTTGTTCAGCTCCTTACTTCATAAGGCCAGGGCCACAGCAGACCTGGACTCCCCTCCACAACCCAGTCCTACCATCGCCACCCCCGGCCCTAGTGGGGGTAACAAGAAGGGACCCCTCCACAGGCCCCAGGTGGAGAAGGAGGAGATACCCACTCCAGAGATGTTTCTAGAAGTGCTTAAATCCCAGTGGGTTAAGCCAGGGTCTTTTCCCAACCCGAGGAGGAGGGGCAATGAGCGTAGATTCTATAATCTCAATTCTACCTTTGCCCAAGTACTGCAGGTTCCTTTAGTGGACACTCCGGTCGCCACCCTAACTTCTGCTTCAACCGTGATGACTGGCGACATCGCCAACTGTCTTAAGGCAGAAGACAAGAAGGCAGAAATGATTTTGTGTAAGTCATTTCAGGCAATAACCTAGGCCATTAGGGCGGCCACTTCTGCATCCTTTTTCAATAGGTCAACAGTGCTGTGGCTGGAACAGCTGAGAGACAGGACTCCAGCCACGGAGGTACGTCTCCTGCAGGACATCTCCAAGGTGCTGGCAGCCACGCAGTTTTCGGCAGACGCCACGCTGGATGCAGTTAAGTATGCTTCTCGAGCTTTGTCGTCCTCTGTAGCGTCCAGGCACCTGCTGTGGCTGCGCCACTGGCAGGCGGAATCTTAGGCTAAGTGGCACCTGGCAGGAGCTGACTACACCGGGTACAAGCTTTTCGGTGCCTTGCTGGATCCTATCTTGGTGGAGGACAAGAATAAGCAAAAGGTCTTCCTGGCTACGACCAGACGGTCAGATCACCGACAGGCTCCTTACCCCAGGAGAACCTCTTACCGCCTGCCTGACACGGACTACCAGAGTCAGAGGTATCCTGTTCCTAGATCTCATAGACAGGGGGATAGGCAGTTCCCAAGGGACAGATTTAGAAGCCAGCAGCAGAGCAAGCGGCCCTTTCGAGGAGGGGGTGGCCATCCGTTCCGCAGGTTCAAGTGATCCAATCGCGGATCACCCCATCGGCAGTCGCCTCTCCCTATTTGCAGATGCCTGGGAGCACGTCACCTCGGACAAACGAGTCCTCCAGACAGTTAAGCTCGGGCTCCGGCTAGAGTTCCAATCGCAGTCCCTGAATAGATTCCGCACCTTCGCCTCCTTCACAAATCCAGCCAAACGAGCCCTTAAGGCCAAGGCCATCAGACACCTGTTAGACATCAGGGCCATAGAGAAGGTCCCAGAGGGGGAGAGGGGTTCCAGGTTCTATTCAAACCTGTTCCCAAGAGTTCAGGGGGGGTGGAGAGCCATCCTGGAACTTAAGCTGCTCAATTTCAGGGTGGTCTACTGTAGGTTCAAAATGACCTCCCTGAAATCCATTTTAGAAAGCATCAGATAGGGCGATTTCTTAGCCTCCATCGACCTCACGGAGGCCTACCTACACATCAGAATCGCTCCAGAACATCGTAGGTTCCTCAGATTTTCCCACGAGGGCAGTCCCTTTCAATATAGGGCCCTTCCCTTTGGGCTAGCTTCAGCCCCCAGGACCTTTACCAAGGTGCTGGCCGCTGCCACGAGTCACCTGCGTTCCTTCCCAGTCTGACTTCATTGCTACCTGGATGACATCCTCGTCCTAGCCAGGCCCACAGACACTGCCAGGCAGGACCTGGAGCTCACCATCAACACTCTCAGGTCCCTGAGGTTCTCTATCAATCTAGAGAAGAGCCACCTGGTCCCACCTACCAGTCTCCTATACCTAGGGTCCATTATAGATTCGGTGTCTGGGGAGGATCTCCTTTCCCAGGATCGAAGGGACAGCATTGTGCAGCTGGTTCATGAGATATGCAAATTACGCTCTGTCCCTGTAGTTCTTCTTTCCAGGCTCCTTGGGAAATTCATTTCTTGTATAGGGATTGTGCCTTGGGCTCGCCTACACGCCAGGGAACTTCAGTGGTTCCTGCTTCCATACCAAAGAGCCAAGATGAGAGACGCCAGCTTCAAAGTTTGAGTGTCACCCCAGGTGCTGCTCTCGCTCCGTTGGTGGCTGACCCCAGCAGTAGACAAGGGATTCCTCTTCAAGGAACCAGCGAGGAAGATACTCACAACGAATGCGAGCCTGTTCGGCTGGGGAACACACCTGAAGGCCCAGATAGCCCAGGGCCGCTAGACTCCAACAGATCTGTGCAACAACATTGGAGCTCAGGGCCATCCATCTGGCCATATGTCACTTCAGGACCACTGTGACCGGTCACTATGTCCTAGTCTTGAGGGACAATGTGGCAGCCAAGGCCCACGTGAACAGGCAAGGGGGGCACCCATTCCAAGGCCCTTCGCGACGAGGG